TTCAATGAAACATTTCTTTTTTTTTTCCTAAAGGAAAATAGCAAATGGTAAGGTTCTTTTTTTTAAATATAAGTTTATTTATTTTCAGTTTTCAATATTTACTTCAACAAGATTTTGAGTTCCAAATTTTCACCCCATCTCGCCCCTCCTCCCACCCCATGATGGCATGCATTCTGAATATCCCTTCTCCTAGTCTGCCCTCTCTTCTATATCTCCCCTCCTTCTCTTATCCCCTTCCCCTTCTATTTTCCTGTAGGGCAGGATAGACTTCTGTATCCCATTTCCTGTATTTCTTATTTCCCAGTTAAATGTGAAAACATTTTTTTTAAACATATGTTTTTAAAACTTCAAATCTTCTCCCTTCCTCCCTCCCCAACCACCCTCATTGAAAAGGCAAGCAACTCAATATAGATTATACATGTGCAGTTATGTAAAACACTTCCATAGTAGACATGTTCTGAAAAACTAACTCTATTTCCCTTAATCCTAGCCTGCCCTCCCATTTATTCTATTCTTTCTTTTGACCCTGTCCCTCCTCAGAAGTATTTGCTTCTGATTACCCCATTTCCCAATCTGCCCTCCTCTCTATCATCCCCTGCTCTCTTGTCCCCTTCTCCCCTATTTTCCTAGGGTAAGACAGATTTCCATACCCAATTGAATGTGTATGTTATTCCCTCCTAAAGCCAAATCCTATGAGAATAAGATTCACTCATTCCCTCTCACCTTCCCCAATTTTGCCTCCACTGTAAGAGCATTTTCTTTTCTGTTTTTTTTTGAGATAATTTACCCCATTCTACCTCTCCCTTTCTTCTTCTCCCATTGCAATCCTCTCTCATCCCTTAATTTTATTCTCCAGATATGACCCCTTAATCTTCAACTCACCCTGTGCCCTTTATCTATCTATCTATCTATCTATCTATCTATCTATCTATCTATCTATCTCTCTATCTATCTATCTACCTATACATACATAATTTTTTTTTCCCTCAAACTACCCTAATACTGACAAAGGTTTCATGAGTTATAAATATCATCTTTCCATGCAGGAATGTAAACAGTTCAACCTTAATAAGTCTTTTTATGATTTCTCTTTCCTGTTTACCTCTTCATGTTCCACTTGAGTCTTGTATTTGAAAGTCAAATTTTCTATTCAGCTCTGGTCTTTTCATCAAGAATGCTTGAAAGTCCTCTATTTCACTGAATGATGATTTTTTCCCCTGAAGGACTATACTCAGTTTTGCTGGGTAGGTGATTCTTGGTTGTAATCCTATCTCCTTTGCCCTCTGGAATATTATATTCCATGCCTTGAGGTTCTTTAGTTTAGAAGCTGCTAAATCTTGTGTTATCCTGATTGTGTTTCCACAGTACTCGAATTGTTTCTTTCTGGCAGCTTGTAATATTTTCTCCTTGACCTGGGAACTCTGGAATTTGGCTACAATATTCCTAGGAGTTTTCCTTTGGGGATCTCTTTCAGGAGGAGATCTGTGGATTCTTTCAATTTCTATTTTGCCCTCTGGTTCTACTATATCAGGGCAGTTTTCCTTGATAATTTCTTGAAAGATGATGTCTAGGCTCTTTTTTTGATCATGGCTTTCAGATAGTCCAATAATTTTTAAATTCTCTCTCCTGGATCTATTTTCCAGGTCAGTTGTTTTTCCAATGAGATATTTCACATTCTCTTCTATTTTTCATTCTTTTAGATTTGTTTTACAGTGTCTTGATTTCTCATAAAGTCACTAGCTCCAATTGCTCTATTCTAATTTTTAAGGAAGTATTTTCTTCAGTAATCTTTTGGACTTCCTTTTCCATTTGGCCAATTTTTCTTTTTAGGGCATTCTTCTCCTCATTGGCTTTTTGGACCTCTTTTGCCATTTGGGTTAGGCTATTTTTTAAGGTGTTATTTTCTTCAGTATTTTTTTGGGTCTCCTTTAGCAAGCTGTTGACTTGTTTTTCATGATTTTCTTGCATCACTCTCATTTCTCTTCCCAGTTTTTCCTCTACTTCTCTTACTTGCTTCTCAAAATCCCTTTTGAGCTCTTCCAAGGCCTGGGACTGATTCATATTTTTCTTGGAGGCTTTGGATGTAGGAGCTCTGACTTTGTTGTCTTCTTCTGGTTGTATATTTTGATCTTCTTTTTCACCAAAGTAAGATAATATAGTCTGACTCTTTTTGCTCTGCTTGCTCATGATCCTGGCCAGTTACTTGAGTTTTAAAGTCTTTGTTAAGGTAAGAGTCTGCTTCCAATGTGGAGAGTGTACTGTCCCAAGCTTCAGGGGTTTGTATAGCTGTTTTCAGAGACGCTTGTAGGGACCTGTAAATTTTCAGCTCTTCCAAGGTGGTATGATAAGGAGCGAGGTGTTTAATCCTTTCCTGGCATGTGCTATGGTCTATTAGTGACCACAAGCACTCCTTTCTTTCCCGGAACTGTGAGGAAGTTTTCCTGTTCACAGCCACTACAAGCTCCACTGTACCAGCCCTCCTCCTCACCCCAGGAGTCCCGTCCAGAACTGTGACCCAGATCCAAGCATGGGCAAAGCAAGAGATTCCTGCCTCAGCACCAGCAGAGAAATCCCTGCAATACGCCTCAAGTCAGCCACTTGATTCCCCCTCAGTCTGTGGGCTGGAAGCTCAGGAAGCAGCTGCCCACCCCAGGGCCGCTTTCTTGGGGAATTGGAACTGAGACCCCACCTTTGTCTCTAAGCACCACAGAAACAGACTTTTCCCACTGACCTTGTAAGTTGTCTTTGGCATTCATGGATTGAGGAGTCTTGAAACCACCACAGCTGCCCGTGATTCAGTCCTCTGAGGCCTGATTCAGGTTCACTGCGGCCTGCGGTCCCACTCCGGGCTGTGCTCTGCTCCCAGCCTGGCATAATATGCCTTTCTGATCAATCATCCAGGTTGTCTTGGGCTGGAAATTTGTTTCACTGTCTTTTTGTGAGTTCAGCTGCCTTAGAATTTGTTTACAGCCATTTTTATAGGTATTTTTAGGGGTTCAGGGGAGACCTCAAGAAAGTTGCTGCTTTCACTCCAACATCTTGGCTCTGCCCAGACAATGGGAAGGTTATTTCAAGTATATAAACCATGCTCCTCTTTTTCTTGTCTGCAATGAGTTATATGCATAATGTTAATCTTATCTTTATTTTCTTCTTTTTGTGGCTTCACTATCTCCACCTACTCTCTTCCCAAATCTCTTCCTCCCAATATATTTTTTTTTTTGGGTGAGGCAATTGGTATTAAGTGACTTGCCCAGATTCATACAGCTAGTGAGTGTTACATGTCTGAGGTCGGATTTGAACTGAGGTACTCTGGTTCCAGGGCCAGTGCTCTATCCACTGCATTACCTAGCTGCCCCAGAAATCCTCTTTTTGTAATAAATATGCTAAAGCAAAATAAATCAACATAAGAGCAACATCTGAAAAGTTGTTGCCTTCTCTAGACTTAGCCCCATCATCTCTCTTTTGAGAAATGGGAAGAACTATTAATCATCAGCATTCTAGAATCATGATCTGTCATTGTATTGATCAGAGATTTTAGGCCCTTCAAAGTTCTTTCCCTTTACAATATTGCAGTTATTTATACATTTTTGCTTCCATTCACTCCACTCCCCCGACCTGATCAGAGTTCACATAAATCTTCATAGGTTGTGCAGAATTCATCACTTCTCTTATTTCTTATAGCACAGTAATATTTCATTATACTCATATGTACAATTTGTTTAGCTATTATTCAACTGAAGAGAATCCACTTTGTTTCCAATTCTTTCCAACACCCAAAAGTACTATTATAAATATTTTTGTAAATGTGAGTTCTTTCCCTTTTTCTTTGATCTTTTTGGAATATGTTATCATTGAATCAAAGGGTATGCCCATTTTCCATTATTGTTGGTCCTCTTTGCAGATTGAACAACAATGCATCAATATTACTAGACACCCTCTAGCAATAATCATTTTTTTTCTTTTTATCATCTTTGAAAGTCTGATAGACGTGAGTTGGGACTTTAGAATTGCTATGATTTGTACTTTTACTATTCATGATTTAAACTTTTTTTCCATTCTGTTATTGCTTCCCTTAAGAACTACCTCCTCATATTCTTTGACATTAATTTGTTGATTCTTGTTCTTATATATTCCTATCTCTCTATCTAATGCATGTGTATACATATATATATGTATATCTCAGATAATCTTGCTGCATTTTCCCCATTTAACTGTTCTGCTTCTAATTCTAACTATTGATTTTACTTGTGCAAGACCTTTTGCAATTATATGTAATTAAAATTGTGGGAGGGCAGCTAGGTGGTGCAGTGGAGAGAGCACCAGCCCTGGACTCAGAAGGACCTGAGTTCAAATCTGGCCTCAGACACTTACTGGCTGTGTGACCCTGGGCAAGTCACTTAACCCCAATTGCCTAAAATAAATTGTGAATTTTTTTTTAATTCATTTCCATTCAACTTCCTATCAGTAAGAGATTACTTTGTTTAGCCACTTCTGGTTATTGATAATAAACAATATAACCCACTTTTGGGGGGAATATATTTGCCATGATAACAGAGGACATTCTTGACAAAGTCAGCCTCAGTCTCTCTCTCCTTCCATTGGCCCCATTTCCTCAATTCTTCTTCTTTTTTCTTTCTCCTTACCAAACCCTTCCCCCTCAAGTTAGATTAAGAGGCCAAATATTGATGGGAGTAATCCTTCTGATCACACATGAAGATTATTCTTTGAAATGTCTTCTCTTTAGAGGTAGATAGTGGCAAAGTAGATAGAGTTATGGGTCTAGAGTCATGAAGACCTGAATTCAAATTCAGCCTCAAGCACTTACTAGCTATGTGACTCTAGGTGAGTCACTTAACCTCTGTTTTCTCAGTTTCTTCAACTGTAAAATATCACCTCCTCCCTCCCTGAGTAGTTATACTATATGTCAAGCACTTAGAACAGAGTCTGGAATATAATAGATGCTGAATAAATGTTTGTTTTCTTCCTTCTTTCCTTGGTAGTCAACCTCCATTAAAGTGATGGAATATGAATATGGAAGGATACAGAGCACATCCAAAAAGAGAGGTAATATTTACTGAAGTATATTTTAGTGTACTGCAGCTGCACATTTGATATACAAAAAATTAATATACATTTTACAAGATAGAATTAATTATTATTTTGTTGTATTCCACAAGGCAGGAAATTATAAGCAAAAACATAAGATTCTAAATCATTTTGTGAACTTTTTTAGGGTTGTAAAATAAAAGAGAACAGACTTTGAAATACGTATTCTGACATCTCAAAAGACAAAAAAAGTTTGGACAGAATACAAATGAAATGTTACATTATCAAAAAGTTCCTATGTCCATTCTTTTCAAAAGGCTATTATTACGTTTTTTCTCATTACCTCTCCACTAATAAAATTGGCAAGGCTATCACATCAGTAGTTAAAAAAGGTGAAGGCTTTCCCCCCTTTTACTCTAATGTAGTCAATGTCAGTGATTCAGACATTAGAAAAGAAGGTATAAGGATTTAGAATTTAAAATTTCATAGCTTAACTATGAACTCAATAGCTTAGATGTGTAGCTGATAAACTTTTTTTGCACATAAGAAGTTAACCAAGTTTTAAGCAATACTACAAGACCTTAGAAAATGTAACTGAGGTAACGGAATTCAGTTTTAAAGATAAATAGTCTGATCTGAGTATATTCATTCTTTTTTTGTTACATTAAATATGTATTTTATGAGAACAATTCAGGAGCCATTCTGTGTCCTACATAGGCTCTGAATCCTTAATAAAGAACACACACAACTTCTTCTAGAACCAGACCACAGGTCTATCCCTGTGCATGCTCCATTATATGCCCCATGTAAATGACATGTTAGGAGAAGAAGCATGTATAATACATTCAATATGTATACACGGCAACATATTATTTGGTGCCAAATTAGTTTGGACAGTTAATGCTAAGTAATAGGTGCTCAAAGAAGAGAGAGGTGATGGTAGACTAGCACGGAAGACATGAGTTTTGAAGTCATGAAAAGATAGGTAATATTTGGGTATATGGAGAGGATGGAGAAAGGTATTGTAGACAGGAGAGTTATTTACACAAAGTCCCAGAAGGAACAAGGTTCAATGGGTCAGTAGTATATCAATCTGGCTGGAGAAGAGCTTAACATAAATTTTAAAAAGTAGGTAAGGGCCAAATTACGGAGAGGTTTTTGCATGTTAGACTAAGGTAATTGGAAGTCATCCTGAAGTTTTTCAATCCTAGGAATAATATGACCAAACAAATATTTCATTTGATATGCCTCTTTTTTTGCCTTTATCAAGGTCACAGAGGAAAAACAATCATAGCATTGGGGTTAGAGAAAGAAGAGTTTCCTGCCTTGTGAGCTTTTGTCAACTATATTTTGAGTTTAGAAGGATTTTTAAAAGTAGTCATTTCAACATCCACCAGCATTCTTAGGGCAGTGGGGTAGTATCTACACCATCTATAATTTCAACTGGTCTTTCCGTTGTTCTCTGTCTACACTATGTCAAATAAAGTGATATGTATAGGACTTTGCAATTATGAACCATGGAAAGAAAATGTTAGCAATGCCTTCTAATATTCTAAATTAAAATTAAGTGACACCATGCTCTTGGCTACTGAACCGTGCACGTGGACATCTCTAGCAGATGAAAAGTTCAGGTACGCTGTCAATCCTTTAGCCTGTGAGGCCTAGCTCACTGTTATTATCTGGCTTTACGTGCAAACTCTATCTTTTAATGAGATCTTGGCTATTAGAAATACTTTCAGGTTGGGCTAAAGTTTCAGGTTTGTTTTTTTTTTCCCTTTAACATTTTCCTTTTTCTATTAGTTTAGCCCCTATCAGCATATTGAATTTTAGGTGTTACACAGGATAACTCACAGTTAAAAGTGAATTATGATGACCATCCTACAACAGCCACAAGTGAATTTACACAGGCTTCTGTGGAGTGGGATATCATAGAGTCAGAGGAACTCTTTAGCAGCACACTTTAATTTGCCTTTGTGAGGGAAAGGAAAGTAGAGGAACTAGAACATAGGTGACAAAGACAGGAATGAAAATGAGAGAACCCCATTTATGCCTCCTGTGATTCCTACAGTATGGAAATAAAATTGGTCACATGCCTTCATCATATATTCCTTTTCTATGTAAGGAATTGCATTTACCTTTCTGACAGCATAAGATGTGAAGGACAGAAATGAGGCATAAGAAGCAAGTCTACATGGAGAAATTACTATGAAGTATTATTTCAGCAATTATCCTGGGTCCACATTTTCTATTTCCTAATTATCTTTAACTACTCTTTATTTAGTATGTCATTATGCTTAGAACTATAATGTGTATGATGAATGTTAAAAATGCTCAGTCCTTACATTCTGAGGGTTTGCAAGCCAAAATAGACTGAATAGGTATAGTTAAATGGATCTGTGATCTCATGAATTCGGGCATTCTCTTCTTCTTTGCAGATCATAGCCCATGATCGTAGTTAAGTATGCTCATTTCATTCAAACACACTAGATCAGTGGTGTCAAACTCAAATACAAACAGGGGTCACTAATTCATATATAAGGATCCCCACCCAGCATATTGACTTAGTTTTGAAATATAATGTTATCTATGTTTCCTTGTGTTTTTATTTAACTTGTTAAATATTTCCCAAATACATTTTATTCTGGTTTTATCCTCACTTGAGAGTGTTTGCAGACAGCATGTGGTTGTGCTCATGATACCTATGTTCTGTTAAGTAGTCAAACTGGCCTTCTTCCCATTCCTCGCAAATTACTGATGTCCATAGCTTTGTACTGGTTGCCCACTTACTCTGGAATGCAATACATCCCTTCCTGTCCTCTGCTTCTTAAAATCTCTAGCTTATTTCAAAGCTCTATGGCCACATTCTATGTGAAGTTTTTGCGGATACACACCCTTCCCACTAACAGCAGCTAGTACCTTCCCCTCTTTCAAAAATTAACTTTTTGACTGTGTTCATTCATGTGTGTGTGTGTGTGTGTGTGTGTATGTGTGTGTGTGTGTGTGTGTGTGTGTGTGTGTGTGACTGTCTCATCTTACAGAAGGTAGGCTCCTTCAGGACATCAATTATTTCATTTTTGTTTCTGATCTCTGCCAGTAACATTGTAGGTGCTAAATTGATACTTGTTGATTGATTGAAGCAAGAAGAGACACTTATAGCTTAAACCAGAAAAGAACAGAAGAAAAACCTGGAAAGCAGATACTTAGAAGAATCATGACATAGAGCATTGAAGTGAAAGAGTATTAAAGTAAGAGCCAGAAGGCTGTCAGTTGTGAGAGTCTTATTAACCATGTAATCTTAGGCCAGTTACGTACTAAAAAATCTCTGACCCTCAGTTTTCTAATCTGAATATGAATCAAGTAAACTCAAAATTAGGACTATAAAGGGACCTCTATGGCCTGCAATTTGAACCTATAAGTGAAAAATAATTTACTCTCAAAAATAAATATATGAAACTATTACCCATCTTCACTGTATCTTCTTCTCTGTATACAAATTTAACAAGAAAACTTATTCCAAGTCATTGATAAAAATGTTAAATTACAAATGGTTGAACATAGCTCCTCGAGGTATTACTCTAGAAATCAATTTCTAATTGTATCTCAAATAAGTATGGTGTTTGAGTGTAGACTTTCAGCCAGTTCCAAATCCACCCAGTTGTAGTATCAGCTAAATAACACTTTGCCATCTTGTCCAGAAGAATAGAAAAATATAAGGCTTTGCATAAGTTTAGATGATCTATCATTATGGCATTCACCTCTCCTCCAATTTAGTGACTTTGTCAAAAAAGGAATTGAAGTCTGTCTGCCGTGGCCTGTTCGTCATGAAACTATACTTGTTCTTTGGTAAAATTACTTCCATTATCTTGTTCCATTTATAATATGTTCTTGAATTAAGTGAAAAATCAGGAAAAAGTTAATTAACTTATAGCTATAGACTGAATTCTCTTCCCATTAAAAAAACCCAAAAAACAAAAAGCAAAACAAACTTCAGACAATATTTGCTCTTCTCCATCAGTGTAGTGGATCAGTTATTCTCTGTTGTTATTCAAAGGTAACTTACAGGGGCTTATCAAATATATAAACACACATGCATGCATATGCACATCATATACATATACACAATGCATATATACAGACAAAAACATATATCATATATCTATATATATATATATGCATTTATTAAATAAACACTTATTAAATGGTCTACTATGTGCCAGGCATTGTGCTAATTGCTGAGGATATAAAAAAAGGCAAAAGACAGAGCCCTCATGGAGCTTAAAATTTAATTGGGGAGACAACATGCACATAAATAGAGAAAGTTATATAGCGGATAAATAAGAAAAGATTAAAAGCAGGAAAGGAGCAAAATTAAGGTTGGGGAGATGGTGTAGAAGATGGGATTTTATGTATATATGCACACATATATGCAGGCACATGTATACACACATATACATGTATATATGTGCCACGCACATGTACAATACACATATATGCACATATACATACATATTTTTATATATATGTTATGTATGTATATGCATATGTATGGTACATATTCATAATACACTGATTACTATCCTCTCCTTGACCCTCCTTTTTTCCCCAACAAAACAAACAATCTCAATTTAGTTTCTTCACTTTCCATGGTAACTTCAGTTTATGTTGTGTTTTAGTGTCTCCTACATTTTTCTTACTAGATTGTGCTGCACTCCTGTTTTTATTCCCCATTACCTGACCTTCTCCCATGTTTTGTATGGGTCTTTTACAAACCTCAGTTTTTTGGGGTGAATTCCCTATGTATCTATAACTGTATTATTAAAATATTTACTTTTATCCTCATTGGACTTATTTTTCTTTGTGTCTTCAGCATGACAGCCAGTCTGTCAACAAGCATTCATTAAGCTCTATTATTGGCACTTAGTTGTTGGTGAGTCATTTTTCAGTAGTGTCTGACTCTTTGTGACCCCATTTGGGGTTTTCTTGGCAAAGATATTGAAATGCTTAGCCATTTCTTTCTCTGGGTCATTTTACATATGAGGAAACCTAGGCAAACCAGGGTCACACAGTTAGTAAATGTCTGAGACTGGATTTAAACTCATGTCTTGCTGACTTCAGGCCTAGCACTGTATACATTGTATTACCTCACTGCCTGTTTTACTTATTTCAGGAGGTAAAAAGAAAAACAAAATCATGGTCTTTGACCTCAAGGAGCTTATATTCTAATGGAAGAGACAACATGCAAAAAAAAAAAGCCCATATAAGATATGCACTGTATAAATGGAAGGTAATTTCAGAAGCCAGGCACTTACTTGCAGTGGAAGGTTAAGGACATTGTGAGAGGCTTCCTTCAGAAGGTAAAATCTGACTTGCATTTTGAAAGAAGCCTAGTCATGAAGGGCAGGTAAAGAGGGAGAACATTCTAGAACTGATGGATAGACAGCCAATGAAAAGGCCATCAGTCAGGAGATGGAGTGTAATATGTGAGGTATAGCAAGAAGAGCCAATTTTGCTGAATTGTAGGGTATGTGGAAGAGCGTAGGTTTTAAAAAGACTGGAGAGGTAGTAAGAAGGAGAATGTAATAGGACTTTATTGTGAAACCAAGAATTTCATATTTTATATTTATTCCTTATGAAGACAGGGATCCACTGAAGTTTATTGAGTAGGAGAGAAATGTGGTTAGAATTACACTTTATGAAAGCCATTTTGGTAGTTGAGTAGAGGATAGATCATAATAGGGAGAAACTGGATGCAGGGAGACCAACCAGAAGGCTATTAGAATAGTTCAGGCATGAGGACTTCTCCCCCAGAGTGGGGTGTCTGTGAATAAAGGGAATGCAACATACATTAGAAGTGTTAGGAAGGTAGAAATGACAAGACTTGACTGCAGATTGGATATGTGGAATGAAGACAAGTGAAGAGTTGAGGATAATGTGCTGGTCACAGGCTTGAGTGACTGAGAAGATGTTATAGTGGTACCCTTGACAATAATAGGAAAGTTGGGAAGAGGGGACAATTCCAAGAGAAAGATAATGAATTCCATTATGGAGTTGTTAAATTTGAGGTTTCTGTGGAACTTCTAGTTTTAGATGTCTAAGAAACAACTGGGAATTCAAGAATGGAATACAGGAGAGAGTTTAGGGATTGATATATAGATCTGAGAATCATCTGTCCAGCTCCCATGGAAGCTGAGGAAGTCGTGAAGATAATAAGAGAAGAAAAGAGGTCCCAGGATTGAGTGCTGTAGAATACCCACAGTTAGTGAGTATGATATGGATGAAGATTCAGCAAAGGAGACGAAAGAATAGACAGACATGTAGGAGGAAGTATTAACATGAAAAACAAGGAGAGAATATCTAGTAGAAAAGGGTAATGGATAGTGTTAAAACTGCAGAGAGGCCAACCAGTATAAGGGCTAAGAATAGGCCAATAGATTTGGCAATCATGGGATCCCTGACAAGAGCAATAGTGAAGTATGCGTTTGCCAGAAGAAGGCTGTCCTCTTTTTCTGAGACTGCTGTGAAAGAGGAAATATTTCTGAAATATGATGGTTATGAGATGGGTAGGGAGAGAAAAAGAGTACTTTCAGCAAATAATTTTATTTTTTCATTTATTCAATTATATATGGATGTGTGTATGTTAAGTATGAGGTGATATCCTTGCCAGAGAGCATCTGCCATGAGAGAGGCTTGAGGAGTGATGAGAAGTTATGGGGCAGTAGATATGGTAAGCCCAAATTGATTAAGACTGTGCTAATGAATGTTAAACTACTGACTTTTTGGGGGGAATGTGGGGGGGAAAACATGCTGGATGAACTTTTTAAGTTTAATCTGCATTACTGACACTTTCTCCATCACTGTTTTTAGTACAGACAATCATCAACATAATACATCAACTTATGATTTATAGCATTGGTCAATTTCCAAGGTATAAGTGTTTTCACTGAAATGAACGATCACCTCTCCCTGTCCCATAGGAATTGGCTCTATCACATGTGTGCAAAAGGCTCATTCTTCAGAGTTTCCTAGTCTTCCTGGGCTGACATTTTACTCCATAGGTCCCTCCCTACTCTTCCTCTGTCCAAGGGTGGGTAACCTGAGGTCCTGAGGCCACATTTGGCTTTCTACGTCCTCAAGTGATGCTCTTTGACTGAGCCCAAAACTTCACATAACAAATCTGAACCCAAACTTCACAGAACAGATTCATTCTGTGAAATTTGGGTTCAAACAAAGGGCCACATTTGAGGGCCTAGAGGGCCACATGTGGCCTCGATGCTGTAGGTTCCTTACCCCTACCTATATTTTTAGAAATTTGCTTTACCCATATTTAGGATGCATGATTATTCTTCCCAGTTTTCCTACACAGAAATAATTTTCTGTAAGAAATTTGAAGTCACTTTTCTCTGTGGTGTGCAAAATTTCTATCTCCAGTCACCGTTTCTCCCTGTTGGGTAAAATACCATCAAGAAGAGAATTTTCCTGTCTGTTTCTTTACTTTTCAGAGGAAAGAATTATTTGTCATTAAGGAAGGACAAGAATTTATGAAGCAAACTACTCTTCACAGTTTTCTCTAAAGCCCCCCGATCATCATATCATTCCATCTTCACCAACTTTGTGATCTGTTTGCTGATTAACTTATCTATTTTCCCTTCCTGTATAAGCAGTTTGTACACTGATGATATCTTTACTCTGTTTCTGCCTCCACTGATTTTTATTCCAATTCTCTGCACTATGACCTTCTTCATTCCCCCACCCAGTTCTCTGATTTCCTCACAGGTGTATACTTCTTAATACATAATGATCCCCAGTACTTTATTACCTATCTTGCGACTTTTAAATAGTGTATATCCATGTGGACCCAAATTCCAATTATAAGTCTCATCTCATCAAGTCTCAGTTATAACTATGAGGTCAAAATTACCTCCTTGTGTTGTGATCTGTTGCTCACCTTGCTTATTATGGAAATATTCTGCAAAATAGGGATAATCAAATTTATTACCATGGAGGCGATATCCAAAAAGCATGCTAGATGGGAAGAAAAAAAAAGTCTGGCTTAGGTTTTTAAAGAGGTAGCTGATTTAAATTGTAAGGCAAGTAGGTGTAGGTGAAAGCATTTACATCTTTCCAATAAGGGGAACAGCAAAAAAGTAGGGATTTTTTTTAACAAAAGCATTAGCAACCCCAAAACAGAGCTATTTCCCCAACTTTAAAAACAAATTATCTTGAGACCATTCAGTTCTAAGGGTTGTGAACATCTATGAATAGGCAAAAAACAGAGTAGATATGCAATTCATTAAGAAAAAACAACTATACTGTGTATTCTCTTCTTGCAATCTTAGAAAATATCTAATTATAATGGATAAGTAGTATTTCAGTATAATCATCTAATCATTTTTGGAATCATAAAAGAATTAAAAATTCTTTTTCTAGTGATATCTAATTGCCTATAGCTTTCACATGACATATGTTAATTAATATTCATCTTAACATTATTTCCGGAGACATGTTTTCTAAATCCCCCTATATTAATGTGGAAAAACTGACTACTGCAGTGTAGAATTTCACAAATACCTGAACTGCATGTACAAGCCCTTAAGACAGGGGTTCTTAACAGGATTCCATGAACTTTTTTTAAAAAATATTTGGATTAGCAACAGCCCTAATAATTATTAGTAGTCTGACACTGGTCAATCTTATAAATATTCTGATGATGCCATTTTCCATTTGGTCATATATAGACACAATCCTTAATTCAGATTACTTTTGTATGACCTCTGAATCCAAGCAGTTTGAAAGTTTGTACAGGTCAAAATGGTTTCTGCTCAAGGAAAGATGAAGAATTTGAAGAAATTGTGAATAAATTACCACCAGTTTACTAATTTCAATGCTGTAGGTAATACATGAAAAGAAGGAAAAATGGAAATATTCCAGTTCATTATTTAAACCAAATTAGCTGAAAATATATATTCTCCCTCTGAATATATATTAAAAAGATCCCTATGGCCCTCCAGTAATAAGCAGAATACTAGCAGGATCAGTGCTGCCTTTTTATGTTTTGGTGGTGTTGACATTCGTACAACCGTAAGACGACTGAGAGCCCAAACTAGTTGTGAGTTTAGTATCATTTTTCATGTGGGGGATATTTTTCCTTCTTCTTACACAAACTTGAATATGAATTTAATTTTTATTAAAATCTCATATCATGCCATTGGAAGGAAAATATGTAAGAGGAAGCCAAAAGGAATCCATGCCAGATGCCATTATTTTTGCAAACCTTCAGTACCTACCTAGTCTTCACGTAGAAGAGCTCAGATGTGAACTAGGCTTAGCAATGCCAATGAAAATCTTTGTGTGTAGCCTTTCCCTGGTGCTGATTGTTATGTGACTTCAGACTTCTTTAGGATTATTGGAAGCATTTAGGGCTGTGCCAACTTTGCAAACTAGTCAATCATGTATTTATTGCACATTTTTCAGGCTACTTCCAGAGCATGGTCATTGCCGTAACAAAAAGTCCCTATAGTCTCTCAGACCTATAGGGTAAGAAAAGTTTACCAAAATACTAGGATCAAAGCTTTGGACTGATTTACAAGATCCTTACCATGTCCTTAAGCATAAATTAAGGAGGCAGCAATGTTTAGTGGAAAGAATGCTAAACATAGAGTCATCAAACCTGAATACAGATGCTGGCTCTGCCACTTACTACCTTAGTGACCTTGAGCTAATAATTGCTTAAACTCTCTGGATCTCAGTTTCCTTCTCTGTAAAATGAGAGGGTTGGACTGACTTCTAAATTTATTCAAGCCTTACATCTATGATCCTATAATTAAAACTAGATTCATTTTCTCCAATCTATCTCATTTTCTCCAATCTATAAACTATTGTTGACTTCCACATGACCGCAGATATCTGTAGCTTTGACTGACAATTATGTTGACAACAGTATCCACCTTGAGCTACAGTATCAAAAATTACTTGGTAGATGCCAAAGGTCAAGTATGCCAGTGGTGTCAAACTATGTATAGATGCGGTTAATCCACTAGGGAGATATGATATTATTCCTACATTAATCCTGCATCTGTTACACTGTCAAATCATCTTCCCTATCACAAGTAGTAGCCTAAAGGCAAATTATGATTCAGTGTTCCAGAGTGTGCTCATAGGCTAAGTAAAAACTGAATCAAAGAGCAGAGTGTATCTTGGGAGAATGGCATGCAGACTTTGTTAATGTGGAAGCAACCCCCAGACCCAGTTAACAGTTCAGAAAGCAGTGTTTTGTTTCTTACTTTTTATGACTTGGACACTTGCATTAGCTATCCATGGCACATTTAACTTGTTGAACAGTCTCATCAGCACCATTGAAATTAAAGGGCAAGACAGACTATTTTCTCCCTTCTCCATAACCCCCACTCCCACAAGATCCACAAATGTAGTCAGGTCAAAAGAAGTTGTTTGTTACAGTACAACCCTTGGGTGGGGGAGGGAGGAGCAACTGCTAAATGCAAAAGTAGCTCTTGTAGAATGAGTCAAACCTTGGGGAACCATAAAAAAAAAAGAATGGGAAGGAAAAGCATTATTATGGACACCCTGAATAAAAACAAACAAACAAACAAACAGTAAAGTGTCTCTGTGGGATTACAGGGCACAATAAAAGCTGCACGCAAGAAAAGGAGTCCCTCTGAAGAACTGCAGTGGTGGCAGCAGCCTGGGAGGTGATGAGGTGAAAGCTACAAACAATGTTGGGTTCCACTCCAGCTGTTCCATCTGCTGAAGGAAGGCCAGTCTCCTCATTCATACACCCCAGTCAACAATTGGTCCTTTCAGCCTCACTCAGTCTTGGAAAGAGACAATGTCTTGAAATGGAAAGAGCAACTCATATATGTTTACTTCTGCCCTCAACTCTCAGTCATCTCCCTGAGGATTGTCTGCTTTGTAGCTCTCTGAATATGTTTGGCTTCTCAGGCCCAGGGTTGGTGGAGAGCACAAGGAGGTGTTGCTTCCCTTTCAACTTCATTGTTGACTTGATCAGTTTCTCTGTTTACTTTTCCTTTTTGCATGTAGGCTTCAGCTCAGCAGGAAGCAGAAAGGAAGGGCTTTGAGGTTCCATCCTCAAATTTAGTCTCAGTTAAGAGCAAAGGCTTTTTATAACAAAACCCTTATTCACTTCTCCTATTCCCTAGGGGAGGCCTGAGCCAGACAGAAACAAAGATTAGATCGAATTGGAAAGGAAAGTTGAATACAGTGGTTTATACTTCTGGCAGAAATCATATGTACATATTCACACATATACACATGCATACATATACACATATACACTATATATGAATATATATACATATGCATGCATGTATATATGTATGTGTGTATAAACAGACAGACACACACATATAGATATATATGTAATTTTGCATAATCCATGTGCAAATGTCAAAATAGCTGAGGATAGGCAGCCCAACTAACTGGATGCAAATGGGTCTACCCATTATTCACTTAGAGAATTGGGCAAAACTAGATGTAGTTCATAAAGACAGAGATCAACCTATCTCATACTGATTCAGGGTAGCAGGGTAAATGATGTAATCCATGAGATGGATTGGAGATATTGGGGATGGAGTAGGGCACTGAACAAGATGGGAGAACTAGAGAGCTTTAGAGCTTGCTTTTGAATTTGGTTTCTATGGTTTTATGCCAATGCTTTTATTGTTGAGAATGGATATTCTGCTGGTATGAGGATTTTTTTTTTTGTAATTGTAAGCCTGCATCATCCCCCAAGATGGGCAGGATGAGAAGACATGGGCTACATGCTGACAGCAGAAAGGTGATTGGGCTGTGTGATGGGTTAAGAACAGGTGTTTGAGGGGTACATCTGTAATTTCAGTTCCTACAAATATATAGGATCAGGCCACCAGGGTAGAAGTGAAAACTGGAGTAAGAGTCCCTGATGAGAATTTGCATTTGGGTGAGGAGGGAAGAAAAAGGAAACTAGGCATATTTTGGATAATCAGTCATCTATCAAAGAGGGTTAATCTTTTGATCATGGGATGTAGGCTTCAAAAAGAAGGCTGGACCAAAACTAGTCTACATGAGTAGTATAGTCTGCAGGAGTAGTAAAATGAGAAGCTTTCTGGCTTAGATATTAGATATTAGAAATTAAATAATTGCTGCTGTGAGGACTGGCCTATGTCAGAAATGAATGATCTCAGCAAAGGAAGCAATTTTGGGCAAGGGGAATGAATTGAAGTAGTGTCTTTGTTCATCTTATCTGAATCTTGTATAAGCAAGCCAACTTGGAATTCAGCTAGATATTGTAGTTCTCCCAACTTCCTATGCTCCTGACCTTATCCTTAGAAGGGAGCAATCAGAGGACAGCAAAATGGAGAGTAGCTGACTCAGATTTCTCACAAACTGTGTTGTTATTGTTGAGGTTGTTATTACCATTATTGTTGAATATTAAAGCTGGAAGCTCCCCCCACCCCAAAGAATTTAGTCTAAAATCCTCATATTATAGATAAAGACAGCGAGGCCCAGAGAAGCAAAGAGATTTTCATATTTTCTCCCAGTTGGTGATAAAGCTAGCCTGGAAAGAGCTCTGGTTTTAGAGCTTGACGACCTGGATTCAAATTGTATTTTTGATGTTTTCTTCCTGTGTGACCTTGCATAAGTTGTAACACTTTTCTGGGTCTCAGTTTCCCTATCTGTAAAATACACCACTAGACTATATGACATTTAAAGTGTTTTATGAATCTAAATCTATGATGCCGTAATTCAGATTTTTGGTTTCCAAATTCAATGCTCTGTTCAGTACACGCTTTAACATTGGACTTTTTATCTATCTAATAGAACCAGCCAGAAGCTTACAGGAAGAAAGATGCAATAAGACAAGGTGGAGAAGAGGAGGTACTAGTGAGGAAGAAGAGGATAATGAGCTTGGAGTCATTTTGTATTCAAATTGAATATTTCCTTTTCATGAGGTCATGACCATTTCATACATATACAAGAAAAAAAAATAAAGACTTGGCATGTCTGCCTTTGGGTGCCAGACTGAAGAGTGGATGGCAGGGTTTCACTTCGTGATTTCTTTTCCATAAGGTTACAGTGTGCAGTGGCCTCATGGTATTATCTGTAGTTTCATTGTTCAATGCATGATCTTAGAATGGGAGATACAAAAGGTCATTAAGGAAACCAACTATACTTAAATGTAGTTATCAAAATATTGAACACACTCCCACAAGTTCATAGACTTAAAGTTAAGAACCTCTCTTCCAGTATTAGAAAGTTTCTCCTCATATCAAGCCACAATCTGCTTCTCTGCCACTCACACCTGTTGCACCTAGTTCTACCCTCTGGATACAGAGATCACTCCATTCCATGTGATGACCTTTCAAACATTTGAAGGTAGATAACATGTCCTACCTATGTTTTCTTTTCTTCAAGCTAAACATTTCCAGGGGTCCAAGAAATTTGTATATCGAATGAACTTGAGGCACTTCCATTTGATTACCCTCCTTTCCACACTCCAATCTATCAATAGACTCCCAAAATTGGAATGCCCATAACTGATACAATATTCAAGATGTGATCTAATCAGGAGAAACTCTTAATGACCTATCAACTCTCTAGACCTGGACATTATATCTCTCTTAGTGTAGCATAAGCCTATTTCAGCTGTAATCACTGCCATATTGCACGGTTCATTCATATTAAACTTGAATCCCACATTAGAATGCTGGGAAGAGTAAAAATATCAATGACATTTACAATCTAAGGATGTATATTCCATATCCACATAGAGATGAAAACCATAAGCATAATCATTAATCTAAAAATCTGCATATTTGTATCCGGATGTATTCTTAGACAAAATTATGAGATTGGTTACATTTTTCTTTGCCATTCTACATTATCTCTAACTAATATTAAAATATCTACATATTTAACCAAATATGAAGATCTGCCACTGGTAAGTTTTGCATATCACTACAAATAAAATAGTGCAATCACAAGAACCCTGTGAGATATATACAAATTATTATAATCCTCATTCCATAGAAGAGAAAAACGAGGACCAGAAAGTTTGTGACACTCACAGTCACCAAACCAGTGTTGACTATGGAGTTTGAGCACATGCTGTCCTGACTGCAAGTCAAGCACTTTAGTCAAACATTGCACAGAAGGAAACAAATGTGATACTTTATGTTGCAAACAAATCATTTCTCTTCCTCCTCCTCCTCTCCCTCTACCTCCTCTTTATCCTCTTCCTCCTCCTCTTTGTTCTCATATTCCCAGAGATAGGAGTTCCCCAACCTGTTACCTTGGGGACTTATTGGTGAGCTTTCACTTTATATCTTTTTTTTCTTATACTCTAATTCTGCTTTCCCATTGATTCCATGCCAAGCCCATGTAAATTCCTCTTCTTCCTTATTTCCCTACTTCATTCAGAATTTTGAATATTACACTTAGAATTCTCAGATCCAATTAACGAGTTTTATATTTATTTGGTCCTGAAACTAGATATGTGTACGTGTGTGCATGTGTGTGTGTGTGTGTGTAACAGGTCTGTGAGTTCATTAGTGTTAGAAACTCTCTCTGTAGTGTCTTTAACCAGTGAAGGTTGGTACCTACTCCACAGCATATAATCTTAGAGAACTGTCTGATAGGTTAATTGAACTGCTAGGATCTCAAAGCCTGTGTGTGTTCAAGGTTAAGACCTGAGCTAATGTCTTTCTGACTCCAAAACTATCTCTCTCCCCACAACACCACACTACCTCTACATAAACTATACACACAGTAGATACACATTCCCATGTGTATCCCTGTGATGGCCAGGAGGTATCTAGGTGATTCAGTAGTAAATTGAATATAAGATTTCACACCATCTTTCAACCATTTAACAACTATATAATGTGGGCAAGTTCACCTCTTTCAGTCTCAGTTTTCTCATCTGTAAAATAGGGATAATAATAAAACATGTACCTTACCAAGTTATTCTTAACATCAAACAAGACAACCCATGTGTGTGCATGTATTTCTGTTATTGTTGTTGTTTGTCCTTTATCCTCAAGGAGGATCAAAATAACATCACAATATCGGGATCAACGTACAGGGCATCCAATTGTGTGTGGCTGATCATATCAATACCATCTTATAAGGCCCTACCACAGGCCAGGAATAAAGAGTCTGTATGACCATTTGGGAGAGAGATGTCTCTAAATTTGCATATCTCGTGTTTCTTTTGAGCTACCACATTTCTTCTTTGCTCACAGAACACAGCACCTTTTCTTTTAAGGTGGGAATGTCATGATAGATGATCTTATGCAAGTATCTACCATGTCTCAGAATCAATATCAAAGTTCTTCAGAGACACCTTGAAAGTGTTCTTGTATTATTTCTTCTGACCAACATGTGAGCACCTGCCTTGTTTGAGTTTCAATAAAATTGTCTTTTAGGCAAACACACATTTGACATTGGAATGATGTGCCAATTGCAGTTGCACTTTCTGAAGCAGAGTTTGAATGCTTTGGTACCTTATCTTTCCAGCTGATCATCAGAATTTTCCTAAGACAATTCAAATGGAAGTAATTCAATTTCCTGCCATGGCTCAGGTAGAGTGTCCAGATTTCACAGGTGTACAACAATGAAGTCAGAACAAAGGCTCTGTAGACCTTTAGTTTAATAGGCAACCTTATATCTCTTCTCTCCCACATATTCTTTCAGAGCCTTCCAAACACTGAGTGAGCTATAGAAATGTACATGTCAACTTGATCATCTATA